TTTTTACCCAAAATAGGCGGGAAGCCCTAGATTCGCCACTGATCCTGGCCTGCCTTATTAGCAGTCCACTGTTCTCTCCACCATTGCAGCCTGCATTATTACATAAACCTGCAAGTGGTATGGACTCGCAGAAAGCTGCGCAGTATGTTTATGTCGCAGGCCTGTCGTAAGCTTGTCGCATTCGGCAAAGTCGTACCGTGTAAATCGGCCCTTAAGTATTTGGCATCGAAATAAAACTTATAAAACCAAAACTTCTCTTGTGATGTATAAAAGCTTTTCGTGGAAAAATTTGCGAGAGAATTTAAAGCCCTAATTTATTTTTGTTTGGTAGAGAGTAGGCGAAAACAGTCCGTGATAAAGGTTTGCACTTTAAGGAAGGAATTAAGGAAGTGAAAATTCTAAGGATTTTTTTTCGACGCGGTGGGCATATGTGGCGGAGGGTTATCAAAGCTGAGTGAGAAAAAAGAAGGAATCGTATTCAACGCGAGAGAAAACAATTGTGAAAATTTTGAAATCAAGATTAAGGTCCGTTTTCTTTTGGATCGCCACTCAACTGACTCTGGAACCAGTTATCAGGGAGAGAAATTGTGCAGATGGTCTTGCACAGGTCAGTCCAAGAGCAAATCCTTTTCAGCAGAATATTCAATACACGAGTGATTACAAAAATGCACAAATAGAGTAACGTATGTCAAATAAAGACGATGTGTTTGGCTTTCAAATTGACCCGTGGTCTTGCGGTGGTCTTTATTTTTCCTGAATGAAACAGGACTTTTCAAGTTTCTTTTTATGCTGTTTTGTAGAAGATGCAGTTTTCAGAATTTATAGGGGAAATTAGTTTGTTTCTCAAATGTTCATTCTCCCTTTATTTTGTTTTGTTTCTTTTTACAATGGAAAACGTGTATACGAATGGCCGGAACGTAATTATTGAAACCATAAGTTGTACAATACCGCAAATTATCTCTGACCGCAAAATGATCCCCAGACTGGAACTTATCTTGAAAATGAGCCGCAAGTGATCCTGAAGCGCCAATATTATAATCCTGAAGCCTTCTACGCAGACGTTTTAACAGCTCGCCGCGTTGGAGGCTAATCATCCCACAGAAAAGCAACGCGGAAATAGAAGGAGTTTGGCAGTTGGATTTCGTGACCCAAGAATGTGACCACAGCGCGAATGTTTTCCGATATAAAATGTGCATGCGAATGGCCGTAACGTGATTACTATGAACAACATTGTACAACACCGCAAATTCACCTTGCTCTTGTTGCTTGCTGCTTTTGATGATGATGATGATGATGATGATGATGATGATGAGACTTAATTGAACACTCCTCTGAGGGGCTTCTGGGTCATCAATACAAATTATGTTAAAAACCTAAAATAAATTAATACATATATACACAGAAACGACGCATGAAAGGGAGAAAATTAGTAACTAAATGTTTAATAATATTTGCTTTTCATAATAATCATGTTACGGCCATTCGTAAGCGCATTTTTTTTCCCAAAAAGAAAAACAGCTGCAAACGCAAACCATCTCTGCAACTTTATTCGGGATCAAAGAGATTCTTTTAAGAGATTGGAAAATTGATTGAAACCTGATTGAGGTACATGAACGTGGCTTGGACCTATAAATTCGCGCCCTGGACACATTCTTGAATCCCGTCATCCAGTTAACGGCTACATTTCTTCCAGCTCCAATTCAAGCTTTATCATAACTACTTACATTGTAAAAAATTGCTCATTTCACTACGACGGTTTTTCTTCTAATTAAATTCATCCATTTCCTCGGTTTCTCTTTCTATGCAAGAACGTCCAGGTTAGTGTTGACTTCCCGGGGGTTGACTATTACCCTCAAAATGTCTACAACTGAGAAACGTGTTACCCCAAGAAGGGAGATATCTCGAATGTGAGACGCCTTTACTCCAAGAGTGCTCTTTGAATTGGACCGAAGCACATGATTGATAACAATGCATGTAATATAGGAACGCCTCTTGGCAAAGTACGCGAGCGCTTTGAGAGTTCTGACCTAGCTTAAAATAGGGTACATATATCAAAGATGTGTTTAATTGGTACTTTGATAAGCAATAGGAAATGCAAGCTCCATTTTCTACCAATCTCTAGAACGATTGGTGAATGACAAATGAGACAAAAGCAACAAGAAATTGCCCCAATGTTTCTGGAAGATTGAGATGGCTGAATCTTTTTCTTCTCCACCGAAGAATTCCTGTAGAATTTTTATCAAGAAACAGGATCGTTCCATCGGAAACTTTGATTCAAAGTAATATCATTTTCACCAGGAGCGTATTAAAAGGAATGCACTGAGATATTGTAACAGAGGACTAACAGCAGTGCGTCATGAAGTACAAACAGTTAACGGTATCTGACTTGCTTTCCTGCCGACCAACAACATGATCTAGAAATGAAGAGCCCACTCATGTGATAGCAACTGAACATAGATTTGAAGTGGAATGATGAGTTGTCTTGTTTTAAGAATTGTTTTTTACGAATTTTCGTCTTTTATTTCTTAAAAAGAGCTCAGTTGTACCAATTTTATGTAACGTTTTGTGCTCCCCGAAGTAACGACCCCTCGAAAGTAACGAGCCCCAAAGGCTGCTAATTCCGAAAGTAACGACCCTCGTTACTTCCTGAAGTTTACGGTAGTTTGAAATGTCACTTCAGACACTCACAAAACAATAGAGGTCTAAATAAATAGTAATAATATAAAAAATGAAAAGATAGCATTACGGAGCTCGGCAACAATGCAGTCAGATGACAACCTATCTCATTTGTTTTTGAAAAACTATGTAGTTTAATTCAATATAAACTAAAAACTACTCATAACGTCTGGAACTATTTTTGGATAACCTTTTTGAAAAGTCACCAAAAATGGCGGTTCACCCCTCCTCTTCCCCTTCCTCTGCTGAAAATAAAAGACAAAGCAGGCCAGATCCTACCCTGGGTACCAGAGGTTTTTTCTCGCGCGTAGCAGGCGGAAATACTTCGCTTCGCTTCGGCGGCCTTCCGACACCGGAAGCCGCGCAAGAAAAATCTCTGGCCCCTAGAGTAACCAGATCCACGAGGAGTGTGAAAACGATTTTTCTATCCTTACAAGCGTTTTTTTTTTTTTTTTTTTTTTTAGTTTGTACCTGGAACAAAACTTTCACGAATGTCTTAGGGGTGTCATCAGCGTTCTTTTTTTCGTTAACCCGTAACATAAAATCATGCTATTCCACCCTCTCAGAAATCGTGGCTCCCCCCTGACACTGCCATGAGCGGCACTTTGCCCAATTCTATAAGTTTCAAATCGCCTTTCTCCAGAAGATATAAAGAGAAGATCTCGAACACGCGCAAACTTAACAGATATGGCCTGGTCACTACACAAGTGTTTTAGACGCTGTTGTTACGCAGTATTATGGCTTTTTCGTCTGTGGGTGGTCTTGTTTTCTTCTTTGGGATTAATTTCGTTCGCACAGCATGGGCGCTGTCCCACGGAAGATTATGAAGCCATTGAAGGTACAAAAACTCCTAAAACTAAGATAAACGTTTACAGCTATTATCACTAGAAGCTTATAACCTATACAAAGCAAGTTAATTTTTGAAATCAGCGGCCCTAATGGTTGATATCTGAAGACGGGAGAAATTCGTAAGTCAGCTAGCCTCCAAGACACTCCTGCTTTTTCTTTATGTCAGATAAAAGCGTCATCCCTGCAAATAAGTCACTGCCTGTTTTTTGCTGAGATTGATCAAATGCAATCTTCTCTAGGAATGGCATGACACACCGTTTTGGTGTAGAATCATTGACGGATTTTGACTTTCACCTTGATACATATCCATGTGTGCGAATGCATGCAAGAAACGGGCTGCATGGTCCAGCTGTTGCTCCGCGGTGGGAAATGTAATGCTTACTTTTGTGTGGATCGGAATTTCATTTCAATACATGATTAAAATGGTCTCACGACTGAACTTCTACATCGATATAGCCTGTTATAATACCTTGTAACATGTAGTCATAAGCACACCTGAGGCATAATGTCTCGATCCAAAGATTTGTCGTTTATTTCTCTCGTCATTTGATGCCTCTGGTCTCATCATGTTACGAACACGAATTAAAAGAAAATTTGAAATCAAGTTCTTCGAGGTCTCAAGTCAGTGAATTTGTAACTGAAATTTAAACCTGTCTCTCACAGATGTAGAGCTGGAATATCCCGTTCAATGTTCTGAAGACGTTAACTGGCGTATTCCAACGCAGAATGATGACAGAACCGTCGATGCAGAAGGTAGCGGCTTCATTTCAATGTTTCTACTCGTTGTCATGTTAAGCCCACACCTGACTCAGTCGCAACAAAATAGATAAGTTTCTGTGGTCCTCAGGCCATGGTTGATTTGTCGAAGTTCTAAAGCAAGAAGCTTAACCGACAGTACATTGTGCGCTGCCGATACATAAGGGTATAATGGAGCAGTGACCGTAAAAATCTGTGTCTTTAAGCATTGCACATTACAGCTCTAGAGACAGCAACAAAGGAAAATCAGTCTAAGTTAGAGAGTGTCTTAGGTCTAGAAGCATTTGCATCTGTGGACTTAACAGTGAAAACACAATGAATATACGAAATAATCATACTATAACTGCTTCCTGCTATCGTTTATTGCAACGAACGGTCATGAGACACGTATTGAAGATACACCTAAAGTTTAGAATGATGAGACTGACCCTTTAATA